ACAATAAATCCGGTCACCATGGCCATATTGGGTCACCACTTTCTTGTTTGATTCTTTATACGCATTGCACCAAAGGAATCGATTTACTTACTAATCGAGTTTAACCTGCAAAATGTCGTCTGTAGGGACTCTCGATCACTATGACTTATATCACCTTACACCCTTTTTCAGCTCGAGTATGGTCAAATCATCCACATACCATAGCTCGAACCCAACCACTTGTGAGCAACTTCAGACCGCGACCGCGACCGCGACCTCTGTGTTTATCTGTCTGAGCTAAAAATCTTATGAAACATACTTCTCTTAGCTGATCGAGTTGGCTATATCAATTTTTTATACACTCTATGTGAATCCACTTATACCTTATGAAACAAATTTCGAATCTTGCAACATCGGTGGGCTGTGAACGTAAAGACTTCGTTGCTCAAGTTAATAATTGGTTAATTATACTTAGAATGATTCGTACTTTGGATATTCATATCGACTTTTCCGAACTTATAGAGAAGGGGTTGTGAACGTAGACTTTGTTGCTCAACTTAATATGATTCTTAGGATATATGTTCATATCGAGTTATCGACTGAGGTCATGATGATATTCATATATATCGACTAAAGGTTGGCATATTAGAGACCAAAAATGAACTTGTAGTCGAGCATCCCACATTTGAAGTCCACCTCCCAACACTCAATTCGCCTTGATGTTGATGCAAGTGTTAATACGAAAGCCGGTCGATTTGCGATAGGTGGTATTTCTCGAGACGATCAAGGTAACGCACTTTTTGCCTTTGGTATGCCAGTCTCGAATCCGGGTTCTGTTATTCACTGTGAGCTCTTGGCGATTAAAAAAGGATTGAAAAAATGTAGAGTGTTGCACCAAGCCCCTCTTTTTACTTTCACTGACTCTTCGTTAGCGGTACAAGCAGTTACCGACTACAAAGAGACTCAATGGTTATATACGCTCTTGGGCGAAAGAGATTGATGTCTAATGTCTAATGCGGCAGTATCTAGTCGACTACAACACATGCGTCGATCGACAAACAATGTCGCCCATGCTATTGCTAATTTTGCTTCTTTTTCAAACTCTCCGTTCTTATAGAAGGCGGATATTTTTCCTCTTTGGCTTAAAGAACTTATTTGTAATGATTTTGTTTCTTGATCTAATATTAATGATAAGTTCTTTTTTCCAGTCAAAAAAAAAAAAAAAAATCGGGTTAACTCGATTGAACTGAGCTTTCCGGTCCAAATTTTTAAAATATTGGCTTGCATGTTCAGACAAAGATAATATAAGGAATAATAAACTCGTTTATGAGCCTATCGGTTAGACTCATGTATATAGCGTATTTAGTTTACTAACTTTTGGTTTTATTCAATTATTGTTTCAGTTGTATGTACTCAACCATTTTACTTGCTACAATATTCATATGGTGAAACTTTTAGAAGTGTTTTTCAAGTGTAAATAAGTTCAATTCAAAAAGATATATATACAAACTTCCAAATAAAAAGGTATTACCTCTTATTTTTAATATATGTTGTTTTGAGAAGTTTCACATTAATTAAGAATATTTTTTTGTCAATAATAACCTTATTTAATGAAGATAGAGATGAATGTTTTGAGAAAAAAGTGAAGAGTGAATATGAAAAGACGTAATGTATTTATTAGTCAAATGAGGGTAATAATGGAAAAATATGTACAAAAGATCTAAAACGACATCTATTTGGTTAATAGTTTATAAAGCTAGAATGACATTTAAAAAAAATAGGAGGGAGTAATATTTTTTCAAAAAAAAAAAATATAATTAAAATTGATATTTTATAGCATAATTATGTATTTTTCTTTACAACTAGTGAGAATCCCGTGCAATGCACGGGATTTTGTTATGTAAAATATATTTGCAAAACTTTATTTTAATAATGTATTCGCCTGTTGAACCGTTTATATTAATATAAATAATATTTTAACACATATATTTATTTTTTATATACAAAAAAATACGAATTTTACATATTTTGGTTCGTCATAATATTTAAATATTATTTTATTCAAAAAAATTCTGATATTTCTACTTAGAAAATTTTGTAGTATTTTTTATATAAATTAAATTTTCCACAATTTAGAAAAATGATGAAATGTTGATGACAGTAGGTAGTTGCAAAACTTAAATTCGACCCATCGTCAATTATAATCTATGAAGGACGTGATCATTTTATTTTTTTGAAAAAAAAAAAAAATGTATTTATTGTGGTGGGTCTTCTTCTATATATGGACAATATGAATGCATGTAATAACTGCAATAAATATTGATTAATTATTTTCAGTAAAAACGTCAGTCCTTTGCAAAGAAACCCATAAATATGTCCGCCTTCAGAATTTTCGTTTTCGGTTACTATTCCTAACCGTTTCACACTTGACACCACTTTTGTGATTCAAAATTGTGAAAAATGATACAATCCAGTTACCGAATCATTCCGTCGGGGTTTGTAACTGTTAGATCATCATGTAATTGTCGGTGATAGGTGATCTAACGGTTACAAATCCCGACGGAATTGTTTCGTAACGTTACCGTAGCATCTCCCAAAATTGATATACATCATAAAATAATGTAAGGGTGTTAATTTATCTATTTATATATGAATAGAGTTTTTAAGTTTAAAAATAGAAGTTTTTTAGTTTTTAATATCAGAATTTAAAATGTTATTTGAATATTATATCATTTTTCATATAAATAATATGGATAAAAGATGATTAATTTGATGTATCATATATGAAAGATGATAAAAAATAAAGAAATTATTCGTTTTAAAATATATTTATAACTTACATTACCAAGTTTTTATTATTTTAAAAGTTCTAATAGGCACAGATAAAAGTTCATATCTACATGAATTACTCCAAACCAACATAAATTGATAATATATAAAATTATGAATTGACACATAAAAAGCACCGAGGGAGTGATTTGAATATGAGTTATGATCAAACTCAACCGGTTATAACATGTTGAGTAATTTTCATATCCGATTACCTAATTCAAAATACAACTCATTTCAACTCTCATACTTATTATGAAAGTAATTAAATAATACAAATCAATATTTTCACATATAACATCAAATTTAATTCATTATTCATTCATTCACATAAATTTTAACTAACTATCATATCATATAATTTATCTTCTACTTCTACATCATATCAACTTTAATCATCGTATTTTAAATATATTTAATTCAAAATCCACTTTATTCAAAATAACTCACTTTAACTCATCAATTTTATTATAACTGATTTAATCCATATCCAATCGTCCCACATGAGTTGGAATATAGGTTTGAGAATGTACCAAA